CAACGAGTCCTTGGCAAAGTCTGTGGTCCCCACATACTTCTAGACATCCACCATCCTCCCTGTGCCCAAGAACAACAAGCCCTCATGCCTGAACGACTACCGCCAGTTGCACTGACTTCAGTGGTAATGAAGGTGTTTGAGGGGCTACTGAAGAACATCATCTCATCCTCCATCCCAAACACCACAGATCCACTGAGTACATCATCGCCCATGTTCTGCACACCACCAGTTCAGCGTTCAACACAATAGTGCCCAGTAGACTGTTCACAAAGCTGAGGGACTCAACAGCTGTCTGTGTGTATGGGTGTTGGACTTCCTCACTGGCAGAACTCAGGTGGTGAGGGTGGGTAGGTGCGTTTCTGTCAGCATCACCATAAAGCACCACTCTCGCCTCTACTCTACTCCCTCTATACTTCAGACTGTGTGGCTACCCATGGCTACAATACCATTGTGAAGTTTGCTGACGACACAGTGGTGTTGGGTGCCATCTCCAACAACGATGAAGCGGCCTACATGGCTGAAGTGAAGAATCTGGCATCGTGGTGCCAGGATAACCACCTCCAGCTGAATGTTGGCAAGACCAAGGAACTGGTGTTGGACTTCAGAAGGAGTAAGGACAGAGACTACAAGCCCATTGTCATCAACGGAGCTCCAGTGGAGAGGGTGCCATGCTCTCCACTGGAGTCTTGGTGTCCACATCTCCTCCTTTCTATACAAGCGCTGTGGAGAGCATCCTCACACAGGACATTGCATCCTGGTATGGGAACAGCTATGTTAAGGAGCAAAAAGCTCTTCAGAGAGTGATCCGTACAGCAGAACACTTCTGCATGGCTGCTCTCTCCTCCCTACAGGACATTTACACCAGGAGAGCTGGTCCAGAGCAGCCCAGATATTGAAGGACCCGTCTCATCCCAGCAATAAACTGTTCCAACCTTTGCAATGAGGCAGAAGTTTCCACACCATCTGAGCAAAAACGGAGAGGCTCAAGAGGAGCTTCTATCCTCAGGCCATCCGTGTGTTAAATCAGGACATCAATCACTGTGTGTTATAGTTGTAAAACTATGCACATGACAAATAAATAGTCTTGAATCTTGAATCAGATGAATTTGAATTGGTCTAATAACAAAAAAAGTCATCCTTAGATAGTTAGATAGTTTTTTGTTAATTTATGTTGTAATTTATGTTAAGTCAGTCTGTCTTGTCTCTGCTAGCCAGCTAACTAGGCCTCTTAGTTAGCTAGTTTAGAGTTTTTCTGTTAAATTATGTTGGAGGAACGTTGTTTCGCCTCACTGTGTACTGTTAAACTGTATATGGTTGAAGTGACAATAAAGCCAACTTGACTTGAGATGTCCCAGAAAAACAGCCAACGTAAAATAAAAAACAAAAAAAAAAAAAAAAAAAAACAGACAACAGTCCAGATGGCCCAGCCTACTAAGTCTAGGGGCAGAGGCCAATGCAGACAAAACTGTTCAGATGATTAGCCAGAAGGGCAGTTGTTTAAAATTGTTGTCTTTTATGATCAGACTGTAATTATTGTTATTTTTGTGTGATATTTATGATTGTGATTTGTGACTTTTACCCTTGTATACCCTACTCAGACAATTCAAAACCTCAACCTTCATGCAACATTTCTCAAAGTGTCCGCAGTGTCCCACTTCCGCTTTCTACAGTGTCAGTAGAGCTAAGTCGTCTGATGGTTTGCAAAAATCCCACTGAGTCTTTGAGTCAGAGTTTCATTCCTTTGGGACTGCCATCAGCTGCCTCTGAAGTCATACAGGCTAACCAAGCACAACGGGACTCCTCCTTCAGAATGATGGTCCCTTTCGACTCCAACCGTCACTTATATAGACGTCTTTCTGAAAGTGTTGGGATACGGATAGCAGATCCATGACCTCTTCTAAACCCTGGTTATTGCTACCAGTAAAACTTAGCCTAAACCAGGTCACTCGGTCACTACAGGCCCTTCTAGATTCAGAGGGTGAACAGAACATCATAGACACGGAATTAGCGAACCAACTGCATCTATCACTCATCCCTTTAAACCCACCTGTCCCGGTTACCGCTCTGAACAATCAAGTGTTTGGCGTAATAATGCATCCATAATAACCCATCCAACCAAACGTGTCTGTCTGGTCATGTCAAGCAACCCCCGGGAGACTCACATTTTATTTTACCTTTTGGCTCAAAAAAAGACGGCACACTCTGTCCCTGTATAAATTTAGGCTGAATGAAATCACTGTCAAAAATAAGTATCCTCTGCTGTTTATTAATTCACATTTGAGCCCATCCACAGTTCCACAGTATTTACTGCAGCAAATACCTATGGTACTTTCCCACATCCACCCTCGCCACCATACTCAACTGGATCCACACCGCCAGATTCTCCTGCCACCCTGGCGTGAGTAAAACCATTTCATTATTCACGCATCACTTTTGGTGGGAGTCCCTAAAAAAGGATCTGAGGAGCTATGCAGCTGCCTGCCAAACTGTGCCTGTATAAACACCATAATCGACACCCCACCGGATTGCTCTAACACAGACCCTGGTCGCAGATTGCACTGGATTTTGTTAATGGCCTTCCTCAGGCAGACCTGTAATACTCACCATAGTTGACAGGTTTTCCAAATGAGCTCATGTCATTGCTCTGGACAAATTACCCTTTTGAAATAATTTCAGATTGTGGTCCCCAGTTCATTTTGCAAGTCTGGAAGTCCTTGAGCTCGGCACTCAGGACCCGGTCAGTTTCAGTTCTGGTTATCAACCCCAAAACAACAGCCTAACTGAATGACTGAATTAGGAACTGGAATCCGGTGTCCGCTGTATCACCTCTCACAACCCGGAAACCTGGTCATCATATCTCAAATAGGTAGAGCTTGCTCACAATTCTCTCACTGCCTCTGCTACTGGTCCCTCGCCTTTCGAAACACCCCTAGGATATCAACCACCGCTTTTCCCAGAGGCAGATATAGATCTGGCGGTTCCTTAATTTCAGTACCACTTCCAACTATGCCAACACATCTGGGCACAGGCCTTGAAAAGGCTTCTCAGTTCAGTCAAACGCCAGCACCAGTATGCTAACTGCCGCAGGACACCCGCCCCCAGGTATCAGGTGGGGCTGAAGGTATGGCTCGCAGGTCATGGACATTCTCCACTTAATACCCCAAAACATAAGAAACTTGTCTGCTGTAGGGCCAGTACAGTGACCCTTACAATGGCACCTTGTAAGCCATTGTCTTACAAGGTGCCAGCAGTAGAGATAGATGTGTTCAAGCCTTTCATCTCCAGAGGTTTTCCTTCACTGACTGGAAGTGAGGTGGATATGGGCAGAAATCTGTGACATCAGAAACTGAATTTGAATAAGTTAAATTCAAATTTAAATTGCTCAGATTGAATGTGACTTGTACTGTAACTTGAATAAATGCTTTTAAAAACTGAATATGAATTAGCCTAATTTGAAATTCAATTTATTGGTTTGAAAATGATCATCACTAAACCGAAATTGAATGTTATAGTTTGAAAATGAATTCATTTGCTTTGAAAATGTATTTTATCCTTTAAAATTTAGCTCTCGAATAATTTCAGATTCACTTAACACATGTTAAATACAATATTACATTTGGATCACTTTTTATTATTGCTGTAATAAACCTTTTGCACTTTTTCCTCGAGTCTGCACTTCAGTCCGTTCAGTCCACCATGACACTGTTCATGTTACTAGTTCATTTCAGCCTCACTTTAACAGGGTAGGATCCAAGGTAACAGGATCCTCATGCTACTTGGTGTTACCTTGAGGCTCAATCATGTCTCTCTACCTCACTTTCACCATTATTATTTTCATCCCTTCCTGTTTCCGTGTGACAATATACAGATAACCCTGTTGCAATTCCGTCTAAAAATATGGTATCAAATCCGGCCACACCTTAATTCTGTCTCTGCCTCTGCTCTGGCCCCAATGTGTAACAATCATCTCTCCCCCATCTCCTTTGGAATCTTCCCTCCATATATGTGCAAGAAATGGTATAAAATGTTTTTTAAATCATTTTTTCAAAGACAACACTTTTAGTGATATGTCTTATTTGTACGATTTGCCCTCTTTTCATTTATTCCGCTATTCTCAAATAAGATACTGTGCAGCCTCTATTTTCCCAGTTTCCAAATCAGCCCCCCAAGCATTCATGGAAGGACTTATTTTAATTGAAACCTCACAGTAAGACTCTCATATTAAGAATATATACTTTCATTATTGCATTGGGCAATTACTCAACCAAAAATATCACTTCCAGTTGGGAATAGGAACTGTGTCCTAAGTTTGGGGAAGATTACTGGGACACTGCCGCTCCGCTTTTTAACTCCAGCCGATAGGACCATTTCTCACACCCATAAACATAAACTTCTCTTTACTCTTTTTTATACTGCTGACACTTTATTCACTCTTAGTCACTTATAGTTATTTATTCACTTATTTTGTCTCTCTAATTTTAAAACTGTGTATATACTGTATATTCTAAGTATTTTTTTTTATCTCATTTTTATTGTCTGTTTATGCCCTGTCCTTATCTTTAAGGTCATGATGCTCTGTTGTCTCTTAATTGCCCCTTGGGGATAAATAAAGTCTCTCTGATCTGATCCAAAAGTAGTTGACAGAATCCATACCTCATCCTCATGTGCAAGACTTACCCTTACCAGTTTAAGACAGTATACAGATTGCACTTGTCAAAATCAAGACTATATAAAATTTATGTTGTAATCATCAATCTCACATTTATTACATTTTATTTTTGCATAAGATTTTCCCTGTGTTATGCTTGCTGACAGATGCTATTTGTAGTATTAATAATTAAAAGCACTGCCATAGGCAATGAATAAGGGAAAAGAGATAGCAGTTAGAGTTGGTGCGATTTGCTTCTCCCGGGCAGACCTGCCAGTTGCTGCCAATATATGACACTGTTAATTAAACATTGGTAAAATTTATTAGCGTGCAATGGTCTTTTTACGTTGTTAACACCGGTTAACACAACTTCCCGGAAGCAGCGCCAGCTGGAACTCTCCCGAGGACGGTGGCGGTGAAAGAATAGCAGCGCTATCCTCGTAGGACACCGAGGACAGCGTTAATCCGAACGGTGAGGTCCGCCGCCTTAACGGTAAATTTGAAGGTCCGATTAATGCTCGCAAAACGATTACCGACCTGTCATTTTTACCACCAGCAACCGATTCTCTAACTTCCAGAGAACTTCCTTATACGACGCAACGGTTGGGGAACTGAGTGTGTGGGGGGTTGGGGGGGCTGCAGATGGTTTCCTTGTTTGCTGGGAAGATCCGTGGTTCGATCATCAGAATAAAGACAACGTCCTCAGTGGTTGTATCAGGAAGAACATCAGCCATTAAGATCTAACAAATCACAGCGGAGTTATATGTAAATGCTGTAATCACTACTACACAACTTCAATAACACGTTTATTTGAGGGCGCACATTTGTCACACCCAAGCACTCTTGTCACTTCCGGTATAACACTGCTCGTTCCGACTGAAAGGAGTGGGAGCGGCCCTCATGTCACGTTGTGGTTGTAGCAAGATTCCAGAACAAGGCTAAAATGATGCAGGAACTTAGACTACTGTACCTCTAAAATAAAAGCACAGACTTTACGCTATGAGTTGCGTTTGTGTGACGCAAAAAAGACAAGATGAATGTAGCCAGCAACAGACACAAAAAGACAATTTAAAAAATAAAGGCAAAAGTTAAACAAAACACATTTGTGCTGGGAAATTTACATATCTTGTGTTGAATGTAAGATATGTCAAATTCAATTTTGCAATATTTATAAAGGAATAGAGTCTTCATAGCTCTGAGATGGGCCTGGGAGGTCGAGTGCTATGCTATGCACTACTTTAGTTTTTCATAAGACTACATCCTGATTAACCATTGCCACTTGAAACGATAATCATAAATTAATCAAGAGATATAGTCCTGTGATCTATTATTTTAAGTGTTAATAATATGGGCTACAGTGTCTAATTCTTATATTGACCAAAATAAAAGGAAAGAAGTCGACAAAATTATTTTTACATAATCTCTAACAGTCCTATCTTTGATTACAACAGACAGTGATGACATAATCACCTTAAATTCATCTTGTTGTTGGCCGTCATTTTTGTCCAACTGGTCTATTAAAAGAGCATGATTGTTGGGTGTTGATTTTAATTTAAGAGAAAATCGAATACAAGCTGACCACGGAGCTGAAAATCTAGATGTAAATGATTTCATCAATCGTCACTTTATTTTGAAATGTTCCACTGGAAGTATAATGTTTAGAGCATTTAACTTCACACCTATTTTGTTGTACAAAACGTATTGTGCCTCGGGTTTATACAGCTCCTTCGGCTACTCCTAGGGAGTTGCTCTTATTTGACAATTATAAATTTTGAGGATTTATAGTGAAATAACAGAACTACGGTATATAGGCTGGATACTTTTCATGCCCATTTTTTTCAGCTTTGGACTCTGGGATAGTTCTTGTTTTTGTGTTGGATGTGGACCGAATTCAGTAGGGATCCCAGCAGACATTCCCCTGTGATTTGGTAAGTTAGGACTTTGTTCCCCTCCAACATCCGTCTATATAAGTGTAAGAATCTTGTGTGACCTCAGTCACAGTCGCTTAAAACGAAAAATCTGCCTCCCGGAAACAGTGGTTATATGGTAACTTACGTTCATAACAGGTAGTTCATGAAAACCAGAAAAACGAATAAGTTAACATACGACAAGATCACTGCACACAAAGTAAAAACTTGATCCTTAATCAAACCACAAAGGAAGAGGACGGAATATAATAAGCAGCTTATTTTGTGCAGCTTAATTTTGCAGTTAAAGTTCTGGATGTGTAAAATTAACATGCAAATCAGGTGACATGCACTCATCAGGAAAGACACTAAAACCTATATTGCAGGGGTTTAACTGACAAGTCCAGGACCAAGGAGAAGTGTGTGTGTGTGTGGGGGGGGGGGGGGGGGGGGAACTAAGAAGAAGCTCGGTATAATAAACATCTTATATAGGCTGTGCATATTCTCTCATCATTCTCTCTGTCTGAAAACATATTAATGAAAAAATAACAACTGTAACTGTTTTCGCTGATTTTTTCTTCTATTAGAAATTTACTTTTTAAAAAAAAATGTTTTCATGCCATTTAATGTTTTGATAGTACAAATTCTGTGTGATTGTAGGAAATGGCAACTGCTCTCAGTAGTCGATATCCTGGTGGACGTGGACCAAATAGAAGTAAGGGGCGAATTTTAGGCATCATTGATGCCATCCAGGATGCAGTGGGGCCACCCAAACAAGCAGTTGCTGACCGGAGGACTGTAGAAAAAACTTGGAAACTCATGGATAAAGTTGTAAGTCTTGAGAAATGACCTTGGCCATCAGTGCTTCTAAAGTGATATGCAGTGCCTTTTGACATCCAAACATGGTATATATTATGTTATCCAAGAAGTTCAATTTTGTTCCCATCTGACCAGACTGTATCCTCACAGACTTGTCTAAATGTTGTTCAGCAAACTTTAAACGCACTTCAACATGCTTTTTCTTCAGCAATGGAGTCTTGGATCATGAGCATCCATACAGGCCATGGCATTTGAGATTATTACTTAATATCTTCTTTAAAACACTTGTACCTGCTGATTCCAAGCCTTTCTGTACCTCTTCACAAATGGTCCTTGGCTCTTGGACAACTCTTCTGATAGTTGTTTTCACTTCTCTGAATTATAGCCCAAACAGTGCTCACTGGAATCTTCAATAGTTTAGAAATTCTTCTGTAAACAATGCCATCATTGTGTTTCTTGCAACAATAAAGTTCCATAGGTCTTGAGAGCACTCAGTGGTTTACCCATCACAAGATATTTCTTGTGTGAAACCTTGGTAATGAGACAGCTTTTAATAGGGCATCAGTTGGGACTGAACCATCAGTCTATCTATCCATCTGTCCAATTTCTTCCACTTATCCATGTGGTCAGCAGCCTAAGCAGAGAAGCCCAGATATCCTCTCCCTAGAACCAACTCCTCTAGCTTGTCTGGGGGGAACATTAAGGCAGTTGAGAGATATAATCTCTCCAGCGTGTCCTGGGTCTGCTACAGGGCCTAGATGCTCTATTCTCAGCTTCTCCCGGATTGTCTATCTCCTCACCCTATCACTAAGGGAGAGTCCAGCCACCCTTCAGAGAAAGTTCATTTCTGCTGGTTGTGTCCGCAATCTTGTTTTTTCAGTCACCCCCCCAGAGCTCGTGACCATTGGTGAAGGTAGGGATGTAGATCGACCACTAAATCAAGAGCTCAATTTTCACGCTCAGCTCCCTTTTGACCATGACGGCAACACTGCTGCCACAGTACCAATCCACCTATTGCTTTCCCATTCTCCTCTCCCCTCACTTGTAAACAAGCCACCAAATGATGAAACCAAATGAACCACATCCTCTGCAAAAAGCAGAGATGAGTGGAGACCACTTAAGTGGAAACCTTCCCTTACTTAGCTACACCTAGAAATTTTGTCCAGAAAACAGCTGAAGCACTTGATATCAATTTGCATCAATTGGCAGGATGGCTTTCTAATTACTGATAGAGTTTAGCTGGGCTTTCCATGTATTTTTGCACCTCCCTTTCTTCATGTGTTCAATACTTTTTCCCTGTGTTGTTTATCATCATTACACACAACTTAATTAAGAGACATCTGTGGTTTGATTTCTTTGCATATGTGGGTTGGATGGGTTTACCGACATATGGTGAGAATTTCATCTCAATAGAACCTTTAGAACTACATTTATTTACAAAAGTCCTTATCAAAATCCGTCATATACATACCTGAGTTACATAATGAAACTAGTATATGCATAATATTGTTCCTGTTGTTCCTCTCATGCTGCCACAGCTGCTCAGGTAGAGTGGCAGGAGAAAATTTGATGTGCATTGAGAAAACATTGATTTTTCATTTATTGATTAATTCCTTTGCAACAGGTGCGGCTCTGCCAAAATCCCAGACTCCAACTGAAAAACAGTCCACCATATATCCTGGATATTTTACCTGATGCCTACCAACATCTGCGGGTCATACTAGGCAAATATGAAGAGAACCAGATGATCATACAGCTTAGTGAGAATGATTACTTTAAAATCTACATTGATAGCCTTATGAAGAAATCCAAACGAGCTATCCGGCTCTTCAAAGAGGGAAGAGAGAGGATGTACGAGGAGCAGTCACAGGACAGGTATGACGACGGGATATTTCCTGGCTTTTGTGTTTTATGTTAACACAGGTTTTCTTGGTTTTCTCTGGAAGACTGCTTTAAGAGAAGTAGCTATCATATGATGTCTCTCAGACAGAATAGGAACAATAATAATTAACAGTTTTGTTTCAGATTTAAAAATTACAAGCTTTTTGGAGGTACACTCTGTTCTGGCCACTTCATTCCAAAGCTTTATATATTTGTGTACATTTGGGCTAGATATGCACAGTAGATGCTCCTTGATGCCCTCAGATGTCAGTTTCCTTTTTGAATACTGTACGAGACGGTGCTCTCTTTTTGTTTTACTCATGATAACCATAGTCACAGAGACAACATGACTTACTTACTTACATGTCTTACCATTCACCTTTAAATGTTATTTAAATAACATTTTCTTAAAATCTTAATAGCTCAGTTTTCCAGCCTCTTACAACCAACTCATATGTGTCACACTTGCAATTACAACTGTGAAAGTCAAAAGTTTCCATAAGTACTTCAACACACCTGCTCTTTGTCTTAACGCTCAATATTAAGTTGCAGGTTGATTCATCTGAAAAATATGTTGGAATGATCTTGACAACTTTAAGTTGTTTTTTTTTTATCTCAGCCACATCGTGATGACAGATATTTGTAACTGTACATGGCTGGTTAGCCAGCTGAAATACTGTGATAGCAGAATGAAGATGATTCTCTGTGAAAACTTTACCCATTGCAGAGTTACAGGAAGAACACTTCACATTCTTTCCATGGTTCGAGTTGCAAAGTAGTCATATAATCCAAAAAGTAACTATGCAGAGAGTCTCTGCTGCAATTTCATCTGTTTTCAAGGTGCACTGCTTCACTGTACTCTGCAGTCCATATTGGAGCTTAATAAAACACACATATATTAAATTATTTTTTACTGATTTTTTTACTTTATTCTTTTTTACTGATGTCCAGACAGCCCTTCTGACTGGCTTTCTTCCCAAACTATCTAAGGATAAATGCCACTACACATCTTGCGCATTGCAAAGATTTGATATGAAATTCAGTAATTCTCAGGAGCCCTTTCTGATAGCTATGTGCAGAGCTTCAGAGGGAAAATCCCCACACACTTTACATCCGCTTCATATATTTCCTTTTTATCTCAGCTGAAGAAGCATCCAGCACCCTTTTTGATCTGTATGTGTGAAACTCTTTCTCTCTTTTTTTCTTACTTTTATTCTCTTATTGCCTCTGATTGTATAGGCTTAATTTATTGCAGTAAAACACAGTGTTTACTATAAACACTATATGTTGCTGTTGCAATATGGTAAAGAAGAAACCATAGAAACATATATTTCACGTGTGAAAATTTATAAATGTCATATCTGAATCACCTGACAAATTATTTAGCTATTTAGTACATTCTTGGTAGTTACATGATGCTGTATGAGTCAGTATTTCTAGACTTTTAACATAGCTGTTTTCATTTGCATAAAGCTAAGAGTCATGTGGTGTGTGTGGGTTCGTGATGATTCCTTCTGCTTCAATGAAGTCTAAAAGAACAGTTGAACCAGTTGCAGGGTTTGATTTCTGTGTTAATCAAATTGATTTCCGGTTATATCAAATAGCTTTTGCAGTTACAACATGAGGTTGAGCTTTTACATTATATGCATATGTTGCAGGATGCCTGTTAAACCAGACTAAGTGAGAAGTGTTCCAGCAGTTTTTCCCATAGTTGAATTTTGGAACCTATACCAGTGATTATTAGGGAGAAAGTACATCCTGATATTTACATATCAGCAAATATTTTTCAAAATATTTTCACAAATACTATACATAGATGTTAAAGATGTGAAACTGGAAAATGATAGGGGCATTATTCATCAACTCTTCTCAATGTTCTCAAGTGGATGTTCTGCTGACACATTGAAAGAATGGCAAACAGTTTCAAAAATACATGCATCCTTTTTTGCTGTCTAGCAATGACTCTTTTAACATAAGCAACTCAATTTCACTAGCATACAATGTTTAAATAGACCCTAGCTAGAACAGTGTGAAAAAATATGTAGTTGTAAATATATACTCCGAGTTTATTCATACATCTTTTTATTCATATCATGAGAAAGTAGACTCTTAAACATACAGGCAAGAGGCTCTCTTTCATCCTACAAAAGACTGAGAGACAGGGTGTCTGTGTGTCTTTGCTTATGTCTGTTTGAGTAATTGTGTTTTAAACTGGAGAAGTACGTTCAAGCACACATCTGTGAAGGTTATGTGAAGAAGAGCATTTCTAAAAGTTTAAGAATGATCTGCAGTCTCTTTTGTATTAAATTTGAGCCTCTCATTAGAAACAGACTCATGGCTGTTTTATTTAATTGAGCAAGTTAACCTCTTCCTTTTCAATTTTTTACTTTCTAGTACAACTTTTTTTCTTCTGTGATCCTCATTTGATAGTTCACATACTACACCACATACTTTTGTACTCTCATATACATTTTTATGTAGCCTATATTTCTGTGACATTTTATACCAGAATAGTTAAGGTGTTAAGATTATTAAAATCTCAAAAGAGCATTAGCAAGGACTGTTTATATTTTTTAGCATATGACCACTCAGCAAACTGCCAAGAAAAACATTTATTTAATAGGAAGGGAAGTGATCCTCTCCAAAAATAGGCTTAGCATGGGGCAGTTATCTTCTGTGGCTAGTTGAGAGTTGAGGGTAAAGAAAAGAGAGAATAAAAGTATAGACGGAAAAGAAAAGCATAGTCCATTTTTCTTTGTTTAATTTGATATTCACTGTATCAGTTATTTCTTTTAATTTGTTCATGAGAATGGGCATGCTTTTACTGTACTGTGCAAAAGTTTTAGGCAGGTGTAAAAAAAAATGCTGTAAACAAAGAATGCTTTCAGAAATGGAAGTGTTAATCATTTATTTTTATCAATCAATTTTTCTGCACCCCCATTTCCTATGTTTACGTGCATACTTGAGTCACTTGGCCTTGTTTCTACATCAAAGGCATGGCTTTTTGGCTGCAACTCTTCCATAAAGACCACTTCTGGCCAGACTTCTCCAGACATTAGATGGAATGTCCCACTGGTTTCTGCCAGTTCTGAGCTTATGGCACTGCTGGACATCTTCTGATTTCAAAGGGTAATAAGCACTGCTGCAGTAAGTTTCCTTGACCGACCACTTGTGTCTATGATCCTTTACATTGCCCGTTTCTTTATGCCTCCTCAAAAGAGCTTGAACAGCACATCTTGAAACCCCAGTCTGCTTTGAAATCTTTGTCTGGGAGAGTATAACTACCTTGTGCCTTGTTGCTGTGCTCAATCTTGCCATGACATGAAACTGTCTTTCACAACCTCAACTTGGTAGCACAGTTTGGCCTACAAAATCCCTGACTTTGTGCAATTGTACTATAAGAACTAATGCTTATTTGAAGGCTAAAGGCAGTAACGCCAAATAACTGATTTGATTTAAATTTTTGTTCACTCACTTTGCATTTTGTAAATTGATAAAAATAAACAAACATTACAACAATCATATATTACTGAAAGCATTCTTTGTTTACTGAATTTTTTCACACCTGCCTAAAACCTTTTGCACAGTACTGTATTTCTGCAACTAACATGTATAGGCTTGATCTGGAATGTACTTCTGCAGAAGGATTTTTATTACGCTTGTTGATGTGTCATAGTGAGCAGTCCTTTGAAATGATGATGTCACATGTTCCCATGGAAGGTCTGAGCCTGAGTAAGCTTCCACAAAGTAGAACCTGGGTAGGAATAAGTCTCAGCATAAATGTATGTGTCTTTGTGAGAGTACATACATATAAAGGACTGGAAAGCTATTTTGAGAGGTTTACTCACTGCTTTCTGACTAAGGGTTTATATCAATGTGCTTTGACCTGCAGTATTATGCCCCCCCCTTCAAACACACATGAAGAAAAAAGAACAGCCCCTCCACTGTTGGATCAAAGCTTGGATTGAGTCATTTGGTTCCAAAGGGCCCATTTATTTCTTTTGTCCACATCCCCCAGCTGTAAATGAGAAATGTAGCCTTTAAATGGTGCCTTTCTACTCTACTGGAGCACTCAAAGTGCTTTATACACCGTGCTTCATTCACCCGTTGACACAGGCACTTTTCTAAATGCTGGCCTAACAGTCATATACATTCACACTCCAGTGAATTGAGCAACTTGCACAAGGATACTTTGGAAACCAGGGATTGAACCACCAACCTTCAAATTGTGAATTAGCTCTACCTCCTGTTCTGCATCCAGTTCTACTTCATGAGTTATATGTCTGTGAAGGTTCGCAGTCATCCAGCTCATTGTAGTCTTAGCTTAGAAAGAAAAGCATGTGGAGTTCTTTTAAGTTTCCTTGAGGTGAAACATCTTCGAGGAAACTTAAAGAACTCCAGACGCTTTCTTTCCAAGCTTCTGCGGGACACTCAGCTATGAGCACTGAGGTACATGAGAGACAGGGGCTGTGGCAGACAAGCTTTAAACTACAGCATCTTCAAAGCTTTTAACCATAGCAATGCTTTCTTGTGACTGGTATTGACTAGGGGTCACTGCCGAACGGATGCGACCGGGGGACACCATAGTGACTGGTATTGACTAGGGGTCACTACCGAACAGATGTGACCGGAGGATACTGTAGAGACTGGTATTGACTGAGGGTCACTACCGAACATATGCAACCAGGGAACACTGTAGTGACTGGTACTGACTGGGGATCACTACCAAACGGATGCGACCGGGGGACACTGTAATGACTGGTATTGACTGGGGGGCTCTACTGAACGGATGCAGCTGGGGGACAGTGTGAAGGAAATGGTCGAGGAAATCTCTCCCCAAAAGTGTGCTGCCAAACCTAGCATTGGCCCTACAATGCCAGACCACGTTTTCCAGTTGATCGCTCTACCCTTTAACATCCAGACTTTATAATCATAGTTATCATCAACCACAGACAACCCTTAATTGCAGAAAAGAGAATGCTTTTTATTAATAAATCTAGAAACATCTTTCTTACATCACCCTTTTAATAGAATACTGTTCCCAGTATGATAGGAAATGTTAAATTTATGAATTGATAATAATAGCTTTCATCATCATTCATAAGAGCCTAAAAATGATTCAAGTGAAGCTTTTGAATACCAGTACATGATGTTGGAGAAATGGTAATACATTTATCCAGAATGAAAGTAAATACTCAAGACTGAATATTGAATACAGCACAACTGTATGGTCCTTACCATATTACTTTTAATGAACAATTCATTTATTATTTAGAGACTTCTGTTATAGTGACCCTGACATTTAAAGCAAGTCTACAATGTCATAGTGAGTTAGAGGAAGCCGTTTGTGATGGAGACAAATTGTTGAGATGGCAGGAAGCCAATAGAAATTGAGATAGTGAGCAGTTGAGCAGCTGGAGTGCACTTGTCAGCACAGCAGTGTGATAGCAACTGTGTAAGCAAATTTGTGACTTTGCTCTATTTTATTTATGGGGAATCTGAAATTGTTCTTTTTATTTAACATGTTGAAAAGCTGTTTAGTATGATTTCATTTATGTGTTGCTTATAACAGAACAATCAAAAAATTACATAAGTTAGCCAGCAGTTTCTGGCCATGCTACCCTAGACACGCTGAATAAATTAGCCCTATGCTGCCTTTCATGGGCAGCTTGTCAGATGAGGCAGATTACAGACTGATAGCACAGATCATGGCAAGGACACATGAGAGACTGACCATATATCTGTCTTGTACTTTGCACTGAGCATTAAAGTGGGCTGATGCTGTAAGGAGGGAGAAAATTTACATCCAAAAAATGTATCCATGTATCCATACATACATTATATAGCGCAGAATACATGCTGCTTTTTCTGTTTGTTTGGGGGTACTTAAGAGCAGAGCCCTCGCCCACAAGGATGTGTGGTCTTTTCCTTTGCATCCCAATGAGAAGTTATTTTGGTTGGCCCTTGGTTGATTAGAGGCCTAATGGTAACCAAAGAAGCATGAAATTACTTTTTTTCAGTGCAGGCATACACACAAGCACACTCACATGCTCATACACATGCAGACCAACTGAAGTGGAACGCTACCACAGAATACTGATGCTCACCTTTCCCACTTTAACCTAATATTACCCAAATACTTTATTCCATTTCCAAGGAAATGGAGAAAGACAGTAGATGGGCAAACATTCCAAAATTAAATCAGAAATAAAGAAAAAGTTTAAAAATATTATGAATAATTGTAAAATTATTGTATAATTTATCAAATTGACTACAGCTCTGATTGACGTTTAACTGTTCATGGCAACTGATTTCTTAGTCAACTAAACAAGGCAACCCCCCCCCCCAAAAAAAACAACTTTGTTGTTTGCATAACTCAGTTACTTTTTTGAAGAAGTAACTATATAATTAATTGCCCAACATTGCTCATTATATACTGTATTTTGCAGACAGAGAGTTACAGGACTCATTACAGTATTTTTACCATTCCGAGACCAATAAATATCTTTGCAAACCTTTAATGGTGTTTATCCATTTGTGTGGTGGTAAAGTGAGTTCATATTTAAATATTTATACTTGAGAGAAACAACAGAAAATTATAACACAGTGTTAAAAAAGACTCAAAGAAGACAGAAGGTTTTTTTT